TGTTGAATTTTTATTGTGACACTTGATATCATCACATTGATTTGCTTTTCCTATTCTATATAAATAGATAGATAGATAGATAGATAGATAGATAGATAGATAGATAGATGTGTAAGGCCAAGGTTAGTTTTACAAAACTTCCTTAATGGCCTCATATGTTCCTATTTGTGCAAACCTCCCGCCTTTCACTAGGGAGCCCAAATAGAAAGCCCAAATTTATGATTCCCAAACAATTTTTCACGAGCACATTTCATTTCGCTTTTTCGAAGACTAACCGGAACCCTAACAATCCTTTGAGATTGAGATTGAGATATCTCGAAGATTGAAGAATGGTGTGCATACGAAAGGCGACGATAGACGATTTGCTTGCAATGCAAGCATGCAATTTGCTATGCCTACCAGAGAACTACCAGATGAAGTACTATTTTTACCACATACTTTCGTGGCCGCAGCTTCTGTACGTTGCTGAAGATTACAACGGTAAGATAGTGGGATATGTATTAGCTAAAATGGAAGAGGAAACCACAGAATGTCATGGACACATCACCTCCTTAGCGGTACTCAGGACTCACCGTAAACTTGGTATAGCTACTAAGCTCATGACCGCTGCTCAGAATGCCATGGAACAGGTAAATAAATTATTTCATTTTGGTATTTGATATGATTATTACAAAAATTGATGAAGTGCTTTAGTTCTGGAGTCTGCTAGTGATTACATTTGGAAAATAGATTCATTTGCTAAAATAATAAATAAGTGATTTAAATTCTGGTATTAGACTAGTGAGAGAACGTTTTAGTAAGTAAATTAGTTTTGGAAATTAGACAGTTAGTTATGTGAAAGATGGATATATGGCCCAATTGTTTATTTGTAAGTTGGAATTGGCTGATTAAGTTTGATGGTGAATGAAGATTTTGCTTTTGGCTGGCATGTTTGGACCTTGTATACTTTTTCTGTCTGTGCTTTGATTGGGTTGTGCACGAGCTGGGTCAAGGCTGAGTTATAGATATTCAAACTCAACGCTCTATGTGTTGTTCAACTATGGATTGAAATAGAAGTTTTAAGCTCAAGCGCATGCTTGACTAGATTACTCTTGAGCTTGGTTTTGCCCATTTTTGGAAGTACATTTGGCAGAAATGCAGTTTGACATAGCATAACCAACCAAAGAAAATATGATTGCTGTGAGATAAATGAGTCTATTAAACCAACAAGAAATGAAGATAGATTATTGAAAGGATACTAGGAGAGAGAGAAGCAATACCTGAAGCATTGTTGGAAATAACTGGACAGTTGCGCCTAATGAGCATGAAAGCAAATGAGATTGGAAAAGAAACCTTAAAAAAGTGAGCTCGTTCTGCTTGTTTAATACTTATCTAAATAGTAATTGAGCTCAAGCACGGCTCGTTAATGAACAGGATTGGGGTTGAGCTATATCCATGATTCCATTCATTTTCCCTATCCTTGGTTTGATGTGGTGAGACAAGTGGACCCCTGTACATGGGACAAGTGGGACAGTGCACCAGGTTTCAGTGCAGTGCTCTGCATCCTGTCTTGTAGGACTCTCACTAATTTGAAATTATTAGTCTGCATAATTATAATTAGACATTATGAGTTAGCTCATTCTTCTAGAAGTTTGGGTGTATCACCTTTTTTGTGAATGCCAGGTAGATTAATGATATATTGTTGGCGAGAATCCCATATGAATACAAAAGCTTTAATTTAGTGAAATATGTGGAAAGAGCATTTTAACGAGGCACATATCACTGAAATTATGTGGATTATTCCAGAGATTTTTGTTCCCTTCATCTTCAGTCAATGAGCTTTAGGTGTTTAATGCTGGCGCTCTACCAGTAGTGGGAACAGTGTTGTTTTATAAAATTATAATTTTTGGGTGCGTTCTTGTAAAGTATAGCTGTAAAAAGTTTCAATATGACATCTTTTATTGCACCATTTGCTCGATAGAGTGGTTTCCCTATCCCTTAAAATTGATGCTATTGTATGGTGTTGTGCTGCGCTTCTCGTTCACTTACCCATTGATCAATCCCCAGTTGAACTGGATGCATCATGATGACAGCTAAATCTCTTCTTTGTAGTTTCTTGTCAATTGAGAACAGTGTTAAGAAGAAGATATAGATATAACTAAGCTAATTGACATAAGAGGCCAGTAACAAGGTGCCCCGAATTTGTTTGGAAAGGCAGACATCATTGCTTTGCTCAGTTAAAAGTGATTCTCTTCACATTTTCTGGTTCACATAGCTCCCACATCAGGGGAATGTGTCATGGTGATCTATGTGAATGTTGCGAGAACTGATGCTGTGATTGTTATTGGTTAACCGATTACCATCTTTTTTTTGATAAGGTAAGATTAAGGTTACCTAATACCATATCAAAGTCGGCAGGGCTTATTCATCCCAAAAATTTTTTGTCTAGGCTTCTTGCATAAACTGCCAACCTGGATTGGTATATGGGATTAAAATGATTCATGGGTGAAGGTATGGAGGAAGTCTCAACCTTTTTCAATTCCTTCGTAGATGGTCTAGTTTGTATAGATCATGGCATCTTGGTGTCCCTCTGAACGCTGAACCCAGGCTGGACACAGAACCTGAAGAGAATAGTAAGTCAGATGTAATTTACATCAGAGACTTATGACGATGTTATGCGTTGAGAACTTAGATGTTCTGGACCCAGGAAATGAGGGGCAGAGATAGCAATTTGAGGTGAATCTCTCTCTTATGTTGTATAATAAGTTCCTGCCAACCATAACTTCCTGATGTCCCGTTCCCAGCGATGCCAAAAAGGAGTAGGACGTAAAGTTGGTAAAATTGGATACTCATCCTGGGTTCATGGTAAAGGGAATCAGTTAATTTATTATTTCTTCACAGGACACATCTGATGTTAAACTGATGTATTTTTCCCCCAAAAATTAAAAATAGAGAACCTAAAAGAGAGTGAGAATGAGCTAATTCCAAGTAGGGACAAAACTAAATCCAAGGGATAGAAATGACATTGGAAGCACCTGTACCATGTCACGGCTAGAATGAAGAGTTATTTCTCCCTACATACAGTTTGAGAAGGTAGTTAAATATCAATCTGTTAAGACGTGGAGACTGAAAATCGCGTTAATTAAAGAAACTGGTAGTGTATGATCAATTTGCCCTACCCTTTTGGCAACTGTTGTTACATTGTGCCACTAGATAGCTCCTCTTCACTAAGGAGCCCCCTGGACCCAGGGGCGGCCCCACCTTGTACGAAGAGGGTTCAGTTGAACCTGTTTCATCGGAAAAATAAATTATTTTTACTTGCGAATTTCATCAAAAAAATTGAAAGGGATAAATATTAATGTACTTGAACCCACTTGACACAAACAGAAGTTGCAGAGCAATGGTCAAGTGGGTTCAAAATAAGTCCATGTTTGGTAGTTCGAACCTCCGCCAAGGCAGTGAATTGAAGCATTTTTTCTTTTGTTGCCTTACTGTTCCTTTTCTTGTCTTTCTTTTTCTTCTTCTTTTTATGATTCCTTGCTATTCTTATTAAACTTTATTTTAGTTCAAAAAAATTTAAAGCTTTCTATAGAGTGAAGTTTGGTTCTCTTTTTCATAAGTTTTGCTAAAAGAATGAGAGTGCTTTATTGAAATTACTTGTAATCTTTTAATTTTTAATTTAGTTTAGTTTATATTGAAATTGTTAATTTGTGTTATACTCAAAGTTTTAGCTTGGCATACAATATCCGTGTATTTTGAACACACATTTGAATTCATTTTCCATTTCATCACTTTTGTTACAGTCATAGGAGTATATTATTTTGTTTATTGTTGGCTTGTTGCCTTGTTGTTCCTTTTCTTGTCTTTCTCTTTCTTCTTCTTTTTATGATTCCTTGTTATTCTTATTAAACTTCATTTTAGTTCAAAAAAAATTTAAAGCTTTCTACATATTGAATTTTGGTTCTCTTTTTCATAAGTTTTGCTAAAAGACTGAGAGTGCTTTATTGAAATTACTTGTAATCTTTTAATTTAATTTAGTTTAGTTTATATTGAAATTGTTAATTTGTGTTATACTCAAAGTTTTAGCTTGGCGTACAATATCTTTTTCTTTAATTATTTTGGATTAATTAGTTTAGTTTAAAACTCTTTTTTGCCGTGTCTTTTGTTTGTAACTTTGTATGTTATATTTCTTAGAGTTATAATACGATTTTTAAGTTGGTTAAACACTTTTTTGATTAAAATTGCTAAATTTTCTGAAATAAAATTTGTTAATTTATATAGATAAATTTAAACATTTTTAAAAAAATATTTCCCCAACTTTTTTAAAAAATGACTTCATTTTGAAGTCGTGATGGAACAAAAAAAAGAGCATTGCGCAAATGGTGTTTATTGGTGCACTTATATAATTGACTACCTCGTTCTCTGGCTGAATCTGCTTGTACAAAATCCTGGGTCCGCCACTGGCTGGACCCACCCCTGTTGGGAAGCACTAGTTTTTGGTAGCATGTGAGCATAGTATCAATGTAATTAGGTACATAGTATTGGATTTGTAACTTGTTGAGTTATAGTTTTTGGAACCTACTCTGCCCCTTGTTCATTCTGTCACTTTTATTCCCTGTTGATTCTATAATGGGCTGAAAACGAAACAGAATAATCTTATTTAGCATGCAAATCTTTTTGCCCTCACACAATCATGTTCCTCAATTGGGATGACACTAACAATTAGGTCCGGTTTTGCTCTTGGTAAAGGTGTTTGGAGCAGAGTATGTCTCTCTGCATGTGAGGAAGAGTAACAGGGCTGCATTTAAGCTGTATACAGAGACATTGGGATACAAGATTCATGATATGGAAGCCAAGTACTATGCAGATGGGGAAGATGCTTATGATATGAGGAAGGAATTGAAGGGCAAGAAGCACCACCAGCATCATCACCATCATCATGGTGGTGGCTGTTGCTCTGGTGAGGCGAAGGTCGGAGCAGCAGAAGCAAAAGCAGCATGATTGTGAATGTGAAGTTTGGGATTAACAAATTGTCCCGAGTCAATTTGCTTACAAGAAATACATGTTACTATTGTATGTTTTCGATGTGAAACAACTACGCCTTTGGAAGGTTGGAACGTCGTACAATTGACAATTTTGGTTTCTATGATATAGTTTTCATCCTTCATATCTATTTTCTGAGGAAATGTTGAAATTCCAAAAGTTTCAATCTTGATTGCTACTGTTTTACCTTATTTTTAGTACCTAGATTAAATAGTAAGTTCGGACTTTCGTTTGTTGCATCCTTGCATTATTAATGATCCTGATCAAGTGAAGAGTAAAATTTTACTGTAGCCATCTTTATTTTGTAATGAGGAAAACTACTTGTAAGATGATACTCCGTGCTATAATCCACTATGGAAGCTTCTCTTAAAGTATAATGCACTTCATCTAATTAGGAAATTTCTTTTGGACATGAAAGTCCATTCAAGGCAAAGGAATATTAACCATTTTTCTTTGATGTTGAAAAAACACATTGATTCTGAAGCTCATTTGTCAATGCATGTAATAAATTTACTTTGGAGAATTTGCCAATGAATTAGTGTACCTAGTAGATGCTATACTCATAATGACTTTTACTCTGATAGTAAACAAGATTATCTCCTTTTCTATTTCCTTGTTCACAATTTGATGGTCTCATTCTACTCTCATTTGCGACTTCTATTTTAGGTATCAAAATTGGACATGAAGTTCGCCTTCTGATGATCATAAACTTGAGATTTTATTAAAAGGTGAATTTTTTGTACACAATTGAAAATTTGAGTTTGGTTGAAATTTGGGAAACTAATACGTACTCCATTTAAGAAAAAAAGGGGTATTCGTCATGAAGAAAACTCCACTTGAGGGCACATTATTATCCAAGTTATTTTGGATTTGAACTATATTCATTAGTAGTAATTATGTAATCTAGTTTCGCGAGACAACAGATCACAGAAAATTGCTCTTTTTTCAGTTTAAATCATTAAATAGCCATGGATTTACAAAATTAAATATAGATTGTGCTTTTTCAAAATGAAATAAAGTATAGATATGAACTTATGAAGTCAATATTGGAGTTTATTGAGATTAAGAGATGGAATGCGCTGGAGACTTCCACAAGGACACAACTAAATGAAGAACGAAGATTTCTAATTTTCTTAAATAGAGAGTTCCAAAGAAGTGGAAAACTAATGTAGCTTAGTAGTATAATTTTGCACGTCTATCTTTTGTCCATGTCAAGGTACCATTGCAATTTACTTTATGATGTCCTTTTTGCCAGCAAATATGGCTAAGGTGATAATGTATATTTATTTCAAGTTGTCATTGTCACTTATTGGAACAATAATAATAATCAATAATTGAAGGCTAAAATCCAAAAGTCTAAAAGGTTTTTAGATCTCAAATGGCCAAAAAGACTTCAATAATATTATTTTATTTTAGTCTCAAATAAGATGAACTTACATCTCAAAGGTTTAAAAATTACATGTTTGAATAAAGGTGTAGCTATACTAAACGGTTAGTGTTGTTTGGTAATTTTTTAAATTAAAATGGCTAAAATGCTCTTAAATCTCTTTATAAACAATATAAATCTAAACGTATCTTGCATGGAAGAAGATGAATCACGGATATGGAACGGAGGATTTAGCTAGTGATAAAATAGTAATATTCGTTGTTAAAACAAAAGTAGTTATTATAAGTTGAAGGTGACTAACTAATTTTAACTTATAAGTACTTGATTTATTAACATTTTTGGTAATTATCAAATACGCAATGTTCTAAAAAGCTGATTTGAAGCTTATAAGTTTATCCTTAAGCCCTCTTAATAATGTTGTCTTTTAGATTATACATTAAAAAGATTCAAAACCGTAACGTCTTAATGTCAAATATAGTCCGTAGTGCTCTAATTTACAAATCAAGTAGTCAAAGATGTGAAAGATGTGTTATATCACCAAATTGTTTCTGTTTGCTTTACATTTTCTTTGTAGAAACTGTTAGTAACAACTCAAATAATAATTAGTCCTAGATATTACTAGTAAGAAAAGAGGAGAGACTCTAATAAAACCCCTGAATTCGTTCAATTATTAACCAAACTAGACACACAAATAAAAACAAAACCGTAGCAAGATTGCCTGTCGCCAAACAGAAGCAATTGTTTCAAAGCCTGTTTTGCAATTGAAATCTCTCTTGTGATTGAACTTTCTTCCCCTAAATTAACTACTAAAGAAGGAACCAAAAAAGTACGTAGAAGAATATAGTTCCATCTTGCTCTTCTTATTTTAATCGTATTTCTCTTTTTTATTCTCTATTTTTTACTTTTGTAGTTTTTACCAGAATAAGCTCTAGGAAAAGAAGAAAAAAGTAGGGGAAAAAATGTCTCGAAATTCTTCTTGCTAGTTTTCTCCGTTTTTTCTTATGTCCAATCAAGCTATTGAGAATAGAAAATAGGGGAAGTTACGCCATATACCTATCTACATGGCCTCTTTACACCATATATCCTAAAGTTAAAAATCCTTAAAATAATTACTTCATATAACTTCTTTATCCAACAGTCACGATTATATAGGATAATATCCCTTAAATATAGCCATAACTAGAGGTAATGAATTGAATATTGCTATTTACCTCTCTCCTATCAAAGCCAATTACTCAAGTTTATCATATTCCTAGAAAATACGTTACCTTGCGCAATACAAATTCTTCAAAGTAAGGAAATTAAATATGCATCCCATAATAAATAGCAGTATTCAATTTAAACCATAGATATTATTTAGTTTATATATTCAATATACATTTACAATAATATTCTTAAAATAAAGAGGCATATTCGTTTTTTTATATTGATAACATTTACTTTATATATTATTTAATTTAAAACTTAGAGTATTCACTACATCTATGATAATATACTTGATTTACAACTCAAAAGTATTCTAACAACAACAACAACAACAACAACAACAACAACAACAACAACAACAACAACAACAACAACAACAACAACAACAACTCAGTATAATCCCACTAGTGGGGTCTGGGGAGGGTAGTGTGTACGCAGACCTTACCCCTACCCTGGGGTAGAGAGGTTGTTTCCACATGACCCTCGGCATTCTTCCCTCCAAGAACTCCCCACCTTGCTCTTGGGGTGACTCGAACTCACAACCTCTTGGTTGGAAGTGGAGGGTGCTTACCATCAGAGCAACCCACCTTGTCCAAATATTCTAATGTGTATCGTAATATTCAAAATATAATACTAGAATATTCTACTGAAGTATCCAATTAAAATCTAATATTACATCAACATTACTAGAATATACTATTAAAGAGCAGTAGTATTCCAAATAATTTCTAACAATATATCAATATTTAATCATAAAATAGAATAAACTATTAATGCGACATACTATTAAAGTTTGTTGGTTTGAATATTATATTCCAAATTAGATTTGAATATTGTATATCAATTTAAAATATTGTGGTATGTTGATTTGAATATTATATGCTTGATTTGAATATCGTATTCAAATTTAAAATATTGTGGTATGCTTGGTTTCTAACAATACTAAAAGCTTCTTTCCGCCATTGTTGTCGTCAACATTTCGTCTTTTTAGACCCGGAACCCTAGTTTTTACCATGTCGTATTTTTTCATACTAACTTTTATGCCATCATCCTTTTTGGATGCCCGAACTTTAGAATTTTGATATCGTAATTTCGCAAATCTAGCATTATTATCCATTTTGGAATGTTGAAAACTAAACCAAGATTAATTACTATTCCCAAGTTGTGTAGGATTTGGTATTTACTAGGTTACTTAATTCATGTCTAGTTAGGTTTTATTTACCAAATTCATATTGGAAAAAGTTTTGTTAGTCTGGTCAAATTAGGTTTGTATTATAATAAATAGGGGTGCTTCTAAATATTTTCTATTGTGGAGAGGTAGCTATGATGTAGTGTGATTCAAGAGTTTATGAGTTGTGAAAAAGGCTCCTACCACGTTCTCTCCCTAGTTTAATAAATTTCTTTTATATAGTCTTTGTTGAATTTTTTGCTTGTGCCTAAATTATTCTTGAGGGTATTTCAATCCTTCAAATTGGTATCAGAGCCAGTAAAAGATCCAAAAAAAAATATGGATACTCTATTACCCATTTGTCTCGTTTTTGTATTTGATGGCAAAAATAATTTTGAAACTTGGTATCAACAGATGAAGATTTTTTTTAAGGCTATTGGATTATGGTCCACCATTGATGAAGGATTTGAGGAACCCCCAAAAGGCACAATATTGATGGGTGATGCAACTATGCAATTGGAGGAGAAGAGACATTTAGATTATAAGGCAAGCTACTATCTCGCCATCAAGGTTGAATTGAATGTATCTAAAAAATATTTGCATGAAAAGTCATCAAAAGAGGCTTGGACAATCTTGGTGAAGTCATATCGAAAAGTTGCTGACATAAAGAAGGAAAATCTGTAAGAATTTAGGAGTCAATTTGAGTTGGCTTACATGAGACCAACAGAGTCTGTGAAAGAATATTTTATAAGAATTTAAGAAATAGTCAATGGTCTAAGGACCAATGGAGAAGTATTGGAAGAAGTTAAAATCATTGAAAAAATATTACAATCTCTCTGTTTAAAGTTTAACGACAAAAAAGTTATTCTTAAGGCTACTAAAAATCTTAGCACCCTCACACTTGATGATTTACAAGGGAAATTGGTGATATACGAGAGATCACTGAATCAATAGAAAGATAAGACATTAGATGATGCATTGCTAGAAAAGGATGATCAACCAAAAGAAAAAGAAGGCACACCAATAATGGTGGAAATAAATCAAGAAGGNNAAAAGTTATTTGATGGTATTGAAGATGAACCTAGTAACGAAAAAAGCAAGATGATTCATCAAGAGAAAATTTATGATAATCTACCCAAGATTGAAGCAGAAATAATTTGGGATTCAGAACTACAACACATGATTATAGATATTGAAGATGTAATTAATTATGCACCATTGTTCGAAATTGCATGTCTCAAGGAGCATGACGAACTGTTCGTTGATGACATTATTCTACAACCTATAAAATTACCAATTGGAGTTGATTGGGTGTACAATACTACCCACAAAGCAGTTTGAGAAGTAGATAGTTTCAAAGTAAAAATAAAAATATGTTGATAATATTTTGAAGGGATTTACCATGATTAAAGCCAAATCATATATGGCCA